GTTACGTCACGAGTTTTACGTCATAGATGTAATATTTCGAATATTTTAATTGCATTTTTTAAGGGAAAGTTTATTTTTAACAAATTCTTTTCTCTCGGATTTGACAGAATATTTGTTAAATGTAAAACTTCGCTAAAAAGAAAATTTACTCAGATTACATTACAAGTGGTTGGGGTTTGATTAGAAACAATTGCGTTTTCTATTGTAAGATCGGGAATTTAGAACATATTTCATACAACTGAAAGTTTTAATTTATATTGCCACAATATTTTCTTAACTGTGAAAGAATGGGTAGCTGCACTTCCTTCTTGCGGATTGATTGTGTAATTTACATAATAAACAACAACCCAGCACATTCCTATTACCAAATGATCTGTCAGATTATCTATTGAGTTATGTTGAGCCTAATAACTAATTACATAACAAATCAATTTGGCTAGAGGTAGATGCTTTAGCTGCTCTCCTAATAAATTTAATAATTAGAATTAAATTAATGTTAAATTTAGAATATTCCGAAAGAAAATAATTGTCCAGAATGGGAATCAAATCCACAACTCTTGATTTATTTATTAAAATATTGTTTTCTAATCCTCGGTGTTCTAAGTAAAATGTCACGTCCCAGGGAAACCCACCCGTCGCCGGCCGTCTGCGGTTTTAACGACACTCTAGTTAATTAGGTTGGAAATCAATTATTTCTGAGTTATATTATCTTTGTCTGGGATGTTTTTATAATTTTTATACAATTAATAGGTTTTATATTTCATATTTAGTAATAATTTAAAAGTCTATATGCCTATATAAAAGTTAGCAGATTAGCCCAGCGTAGGTCAGTTAAAACATCAACAGCAAACATTAAGATTATTATAACATTTTATACTTCTAACCTGTAAACACTATCATATTATAGTGTGTAGTTTATATAGTTTGTCTTTTTTAAATTCTTGTGATGCTAATTAGAGTATTTTCTTATGTGCATAGATATACGTTCGATATTTCGCAAAAACCCAAATAACTTCTAAAATAGTACAGTAGAAAGCGACTTTCTCAAGGTATTTTTTAACTGTCTATCTCCATTCTGCCGGATGAATTAAAAAAAAAAAAAAAACGTTTATAGTTTGCATTCTCATGGAGTACCGTGTATCAAATTTCAACTCCTAATCATTTTTGCTCTGGGTTTATTATTATCACTATCATTATATCAACCCATTCGATTATATTAGATTTGCTAACAGGTGGGTCTATTTCTTTTAACTGTAGCCGAGAAAAGCACGCAACTCTATGCAGGATATTTCGATGTTGTTTTACTTATGTGGATCGGTGTTTAACTTAAGTTAAAATATAATAAAATTCAATTGTATCCAAGGTTTAAATCATATAAACCTAAACTCTTTCGGACTTGAAACTTTTGATAACATTAAACCAAGGATAAAAATTTTTCATTATTAAATTCAATTTATTACAATTACAATATGAATGTGTACAATTTATATCTATCACAACTGTACAGTACATAACACAACTTTACACATTATAAGAAATGCAGCAGCGTATATAAAACAACTGTCTTTAACTCAACAGATGACAAAAATTAAATTAGAGAAATCGCAGCAGGAATGTTTTCCCCAAAAATAGGCTAATAAAGATCTACAGCACATATTTTGTAAGAATTCTTGTCATGCCATTACAACTTATTATACCAAAAGATAAAAGCTGTGAATCAGTTAAAAGTTTCGAAGAAAAAGTTCACTCGGTAAGAATTTTAAAAAAATTCTCATCATAATTATCATAATTGATAACAATATCCGACATTTGATTATAATAGGCGGATTGTTTTAAACTAATTTTAAATAGTGTTTTGGGATAGACTGATTATAATAACAATAGCAGGATGATAACATTATCCGTGATTATAATAACCGGATTTATTTGAACATTTCTAAAGAATATTTGTGTGAAAGTTTTGCCAATTGAAATGACCACAGCCATTTGTAATGCTATCTTCACTTTTGAATTGTTCTGTATTGGAAGATAGTTTGTTGTTTGGACCAAATTTATAACACAAATATTTATTATTATTATTTTATAGAGCATAAATAGGAAAAGAAAAACACTGTCTAAAACTAAATTACTGATATATTTATTATTCAATGAGCACAAACACAGAAAACTAATGTTCAATAATGAGATTGCTTCATATGTCAAATGACACGATCTAGGGCCATAGCAAGCTTAAATGTAATTTGTGTGTAGACACACTCACTATAAATAAATACATACATTATATTCAATATTTAATTCTAAAAACTCGATCTTTTTGATAAAAATATAAATGAAAGATATGATTTTATGACAATGTCACGCAATATAACCGCATGTTCAACAAATTGACTTTCGTGACGTTGAACTATAGGATAAAAAGACAGATGAACAATACTCTTGTCAATAAGTAATAATGAATAGTTTAAATGGCAATATTATGTGTCAAATTAAGTAATAGTTATTATAATTATACATAAAAATTACAACGATTATAATAATCAAAACTGTATTCTGTTGAAATTTGAACATTTAATTTTAAATAATTTATTTACGAATTTTTATTGTCAAAGTTTTACATGTTTTTATTAATTATCTTTTAAATAAATTCAAATCTATAATACGATACGATAAAGTTATTAGAATATTAATTAATTATGAATCGTATTATAGCAGAAGTTTGTTAATCCCGCATCAATGGGACTAGAGTGGTGTCTCTTCAATAGAGTTTTTGTGAGGATTCGTGTCTAAACCGATCGTTTTTGTATGTTTGCAAACTTCAATAACTATGCAATATTGCTGTATGCATACAGCAATGTCTGCAAACTTACATGCCATCCAGATTGGGTTTTAATTATTTTTCGGTCCACTAGAGTGCACCTTCATTTTTGCGTGGAATTTTAGGACAGAAAACAGTTAGGAACATTGGAAGAAAATGTTTGTGACAGTAAGCAGAGGGGTAAAACTGAGGCAAAGAAAGCCATAATGGAAAAGGAGACAGATGCATTAGAAGTATTTCAGCAAGCCTATATCAAAGTGTAGAAGAGCAAAGGGAGTCACATTGCAGTAATGATGATATTTAAGGAATCGCTAAGATACAAAGTCTATAATAAACTTAATTTATAACCCTAAATTTTACAGACCTTGGTCCCTACAAAGATTGTTTACAATTGGACCCCACAGCTCTTAAGGCCTGTTCTGTTTCTTGTGCATATATTTTCCAGACATGTACTTTATTCCTACCCAGGTCTTTAGGACAACTGGATGGCTGAGCGGTAAAGGTGGCAGCCTACTGCTCTGGAGTACATAGGATCAAATGCAGACAGATCGAATAATCCCCAGGAATTTTTCGAGGGGGGTGATTTGACCGGATATGTCGGCCCCGTCCCTCACCACCCAGCTGCTCCATTGTGGGTGTGGTCGAATCCATAATGGGCTTGCAAAAAGAGGCCCTCTTAGTGCCCACAGGGCAAAAAGAATTAAAAAAAAAAAAAAAAAAAACTCAGGTCTTTAGAGCCTATGTTCAAATTACTATTAGTGAAAAAGTATTTTTAAAAACATACCATTATTTTGTCAATTGAAAAACTTTCATTATGGATTTTGTGATTAGGACCACAATTATCTGAATTAGTAATGAATGATTAAATTGATAAAATAATAATAATAATATAAAAGGAATAGTTTTATATAAGAGATAAATAGATGACAAATTGTTCACTTGTTATAGCATAATACAACTTGTATCAAATTAATAGGATAAATGAAAATATGCACTTTGAATTAGAAAAGGAAATAGAGAAATAATTTATTTAGATGTAACTGTAATACAAATTATAATAAATTTTCAAAAATCTTTAATTTTAAAAATACATTTAATAAATATAAAAGTGCTTTGTTTTATGTACAGTACAACAGGTTTTAGGGAAGTGATTTCAAAATTTCTTCCATTTCTTGATTTGATGGAAAATTGTCTTCATTATTCCATTGTTCATCCTCATCATTTGCAAATACTTGAGATTTAATAGTTGTAATTTTTGTAGTTTCTTCTGATGAAAAATTAAATGTTAATTAATTACTTAATTACTATAATTTACATAATAATTTGCTTTACTTTAATTACATTAATTACTATAAAATTGAAGTTACACAAATATATACAAATGAAGATTATTAATAATACTGAATAGTGTTAATTTAAATTCCTACACATACAAACTGATCCAACTAAACTATTTATAAATAGTTTAGTTGGATCAGTTTGTATGTGTAGTTATACCTGATAGTTATATTAAAGCAAACCTGATAGTTATATTAAAGCCAAACAAATGATTGCCAAATTATATTGGGCTATATTACTACTACTATTATTAATTTAATTAAATGCTAAGTAATTTGGCACTAGAGGCGGGCATTAGGCACCATCTCTTGCATTATAATAAATTAATATTTTAATAATTAATTTAGAAGGTTCTGATGAAGGTTTGGAATGTGTCCACACAGTAAATGGGAGTTGCTAATTTGAGTTTCGCGTCAGGCCAATTCTTTTCTTCCTGTTATTGCATTTAATGTTGCCAGGAAAAATATTAACATTTGCTGACAATATTAATTGCAACAACAGGGAAATACTGTAATAAATACTTCAGAGTATGTAATTGTACCTATCAAACTCACACAAGTAAAGGAAAAAATAGATATACTTTCAAATGTGTCTATACTTACACCCACTAGTGTGTGTAAATAAAATTAATTTATAAATACTTTATCTGCAACCTTGTGATTTCGTACTTTTGAAAGCCAATTTACAAGCATTTTTAAAAATCCCATATAAATGAATAGTGCATAATATTAATTTTTATGCATCTAATACAATTTTATTTTTGTTACAAATACATATGTTATAATGTTTTATTAAAATTACATAAAATAAGATCACATAATTGTGACTGCAATGTAACAGAGGTGAAGAACTACTTATGGAAATCTGAACGATTATTTAACAACTATCAATAAGTATGTTCCTAACAAAAGTCAAGATATTTAAATGATATAAAATATAATTTCTAAAATTTTGAAAGAGATTAAGCTACAAAAATATAAAGTTAAATGTTATATTTATTGGACTTTTTTAAATTCTTTCTGTCCTGTGGACACTAAGAAGGCCTCTTTTAGCAAGGTCATTATGGATTTGGCCAGGCCTACAATGGGGACAGTTAAATGGTGAGGGACGGAACACAACATATCTGGGCAGACCACCACCTGAAAAATTCCTGGGGCTCTTTTGACCAATCCAGATTCAATCCTTGACAGTAGGCCTTGACAACCCATTTATTTGGCTTTAAAGTCAATTAGCTTTTAGATATTTTTCTTTTATGTTAAGTTTAACTTACGAAATTATATTTGTAAATAACTTCAAATATTTCTTACAGAATAATAAAAATTAAATTATTAATATTAAGTTACCTTTTACAACATGACCTTTCAATATTTTCTGGCTTTCTTCAAAATACTGATTTGGATGACTAATGACCTGGTCCACACTTGTTTTATGAATTAATTCAAAATATCTTGTACAAGCACTTTGATAATGTCCTTTACTCACTAAATCTTTAATCTAATGTTTAAAAAAATAAACAACTTTCATTTATTTTTTTTTAATTTTAAAAATTTATTAAAACAAATCAGAGTTTTAAGTTAAACCACAGAAAAATTTCAGATCAAATTAATGCATATATTAATTTTCTCATAAAAGTTANCATTCTTGAAACTGTGTCAGTTATTTTTGTCGTTTTGAACACCATTTTTAGTTGGCTGAGGAAAGGCCTACATAAGCCCGAAACGTGTACAAAAAAACAGGTACATGTATCAACTAAAAATTGAATAAATTTAAAATGAAGATTGCCTAGTGTTTGTGTATTTACATTATATGGTGTTCAAAATGACAAAAATAAAAAAACATTTAATGTTAAAAAAATCATTTAATACAAAATTTTTTACCTACATTCATAATTGTCAAAATTATTTCATAACTTTTATAAGAAATTCCATACCATGACAATCTCCAGCTCCAGGCTGATTTGATATAATTATTTTTGTGCAGCTGTATGGAGTATAATTAGCTCTCTTCCCTTCTTTTCCATAGTTATATAAAATTTAATACATTGAAAATGTTTCAAAAGTATAAATATAATATAAATGTTACATAAATTGTTTCATTTACGTATTAACACCAAAAAATCAAATTTTTAGAATTATTAAACTCCAAAAATGCTGTATACTATATTTCTCTTTCAGCATTAATGCACAAGACAATTTACTTTTATATAAACTAAAACTTCCATTACATCCGTGTACTAGCTAAGCATACTGAATTACTGAGATTTATAAACATACAGTAGTTTAAAAGGAGGCTGAAGTTATTGTATGATCATATACTGTATGTTATATCATTTATCATATATGCATTAGTATTTGGTTTATTTATTCATATTTTATGCTTAATTATTTTACATGTTGTATTTTTATTTTTCTTAGATTTAAAATAAGCTGCACATGAATTCTGTTAACATATTTGTTAACAGTAATATAAGCTTAAGTAATGTATTAGAATAGGAATGAATGGGCTATATGTAATATTGATCCTATCACTGTCTATTTATCTCATTGATATTATTCTGATCTAGTGGATATTCTCTCAACAATCCCATTGACTGTATCAGTTTCTGAAAGGAGGAGAAAAATAAAATAAGTTTACTGTTGCCACTGATGTGACAAAAACTCAAAACAAAAATTTATTTCACTACAGGTTCACCACAAGAACACCTAATTTCAAAATGTCATAAACCACTACTACAGTTCTAACTCATTCCATATTCAATTTGAACCCTGAGTTTTCCTGTACCATAACTGCAAATCAACTCTACTTAGTGTTTATGTTCATCCTACTATAGCTTGCTAGAACTCCTATCAAAAGTCACAATTTTTCTTTCTCTCCAAACAATGAAATTATAACTCCAAATCTGGCAAACAACACCAAAAAATGCTTAATTCAAACCTTCTATTTAAGACTGTGTTCTAACAAACTCCTCTTCAATGATCTTCCATTGAATTTTAATTGTAATCATCTCTTGCAATTTCATTCCACACTTCAAATATTTTTTAATTGAGAAATTCAATTAGATGAAATTTACAGGATTGCTTGTTGATCGTAACATGCAGCTGTAAATGCCACGATGCCAATGGGTGTAAAAAAATTGTAAATTGGCTAATTGAAGAGAGGTTTCTTGGCTAGTACTGTTAGAGGATAAACACTACTTCAGTTTCTGCTATCACTATCATTCTAATTACTAATAATATTGTCTTTGTTAATTGACAATCTTTTGTAATTTTATCTGATTATTAATACATCTTTTTGAATTTATTACTAGAATTGTTTTCTTATAATTAATTGTTGCATTATATTTATTATTAGCATAACCAAATTTGTTTATTGGGCTGCAAATTAAAAAAATGAGAGACATTTAAATTCTCACTGTCATCTGTCCATCCATCCATCTTTCCTTAATCTCGAGAATGGAGTTGGCTAGATGAAAGATGAGATAAGATATGGAAACCTTAAGAGTAGGAGACCTCGACTAACTATATAAAAACTTTGGTTATTTCAATTCAAAACTTTCCCCTGAAAGCAATTAATAAATGACAGGACTATTGTTAAAGGAAAAGTATGATGCACGGGGGCAAGGAATGTACACTACTAATTTGAGGTGCATAGCATATATTTTAAATTAAATAAATTAAATATATGATTAAAAATTGCAGCCCAGCATTATGACAATGTCACACACAAATAATTGCTCATTAAATAATTTATTGATCTTTTACACTGATTACACTTTACACTTTATTACTCATGTGTATAGTGTTTTACCCATTTTTTTCTTGCCTGACAGACTGATCTGTTCTAGTCAAGGATCGTGGAGTAAAGTTTGGTCACGGGTCTGTTATTTGTGTTGTACCAAACTTTACAATGCTATTATTGAAATTTTTATTTTAGCAAAAAAAATAAGTCACACAGGACATAACTAGTGCCTAGAGTTTACTGAATTGGGGCTCCTGTCACAATTCCCCAATTCAGTAAACTCAAGACATGTGCATAGTCTGAACATTTATTAATGCACTACTGATGTCATTCATAAGAATACTTTTAAGATTACACATTTATGAAAGAAAATAAATTAAATGAAAACAAAATAAAATACATATATCAAGGGTTAAATAAAGTACAAAATTATTTTTAAATATACAGTATAATATTGCACTAAAATAATAGGAGATTCAAATAATGGTAAAGTATAGAATTAAGAAAAACATAAAATTAGATTGGGTTGGACAGAAATATATGCATAAAATAATCATATATTCTTATATAAAAATAAAAAATATTAGTATACTTTTTTAAACATTAGGAAAATATTCCAGTCTAGAAAGAAAATAAGATCCAATCTATAAAATGCACAAACAACATATAATTATTATTTAGCATATTACAAGAGTTCAGATCCAAATTGAGTGTTCATTACTTAATTTAATACTTAAAAAATTATAGAATTTATTAAGAATTAAATTAATCCTTTTTGTATCAGATTATAATATATAAACAGATCTGTAATATGCATTTTACATTTAATACAATTCTATTAAATTGCTTAAAAAATATACTTCTCAAGTTTTCTTACCTCTTGTACATTTTGTTGATTAATGGAACTACTTTTCAATTTTTCAGTCAGAACAGAAATATCAGCGTGTTTAAAAGGACAACCTGTAAGTTAATAAATACAGGAATTATGTATTTTAAACCTCAATTTCACAACCTAACAATTACTGATTTAAACAAAAATCATTTAATTTTTTTTTACATTCTTGAAACTGTGTCAGTTATTTTTGTCGTTTTGAACACCATTTTTAGTTGGCTGAGGAAAGGCCTACATAAGCCCGAAACGTGTACAAAAAAACAGGTACATGTATCAACTAAAAATTGAATAAATTTAAAATGAAGATTGCCTAGTGTTTGTGTATTTACATTATATGGTGTTCAAAATGACAAAAATAAAAAAACATTTAATGTTAAAAAAATCATTTAATACAAAATTTTTTACCTACATTCATAATTGTCAAAATTATTTCATAACTTTTATAAGAAATTCCATACCATGACAATCTCCAGCTCCAGGCTGATTTGATATAATTATTTTTGTGCAGCTGTATGGAGTATAATTAGCTCTCTTCCCTTCTTTTCCATAGTTATGCCTAATATTGTACGCATAATTTTTATCAAACTAAAAGTAAAAAAATAAAAAGGTAATTAAAAGATACATTTTAAGATTTAATTTGAAAAATATTGATGAATTTATTTATTTCTAATTTACAAACTATAATTATTCTATAATGCATATTATTAAAAAAAAACCTAACTCATAAATATTACAAATATTTATAACAAAGCTTGACTAATATTGAATATTAATACATTTTCATTTATGAAAAACTAGACAAAAATATCATATTTTCTCAAATTATTATGCATCCCAATTTTTAAGATACACTGGACAACAAAAAAATTAACACACCATGAAGGACTTGTTAGATTTGAATAAAAATTGATATGTTGCATCATCGTAGCTAGATATGTAAATGATTAGCTTATGGGAACAGTTTCTTGTGTCATATCACCACCAGAGGGAAGAAAAGTGCTTCCGCTGTCTGGTATAAAGGTGCACGCTGTGATGACTTGTGCATATGTTCTATGCTTTTATTCATGGTTGTGACTTCATTGAGTGACAGATATGCCTCTACGATGCATTCAACAGCCTTACGCTCAGTTAAGTGAGTCTGAGAGAAGTCACATCGTTGGATTGAGAGAAGGAGGATGGTCATAACACCGGATTGGCCGCCATCTGAACCGTTCTGATAGAACTGTTAGGATGTGTTATGAGCAGTGGGTAAGTAGGGATACGCACGAACGGCAAACGGGCTCCAGACATTGCTATCGACAGACCACCAGAAGGGAGGATCGTCTCATTGTACGTCAAGCACGGACAGTGCCTACAGCTTCATCGTCTACCATTCATGCAGCGGTGGCACCTGCATTACGGAACTGTGTATCCAGCCGCACCATTTCCAGGCTCTTAGTAGAAGGCTGATTGGTCTCCCGACACCCAGTATGTGTTCTACCGTTAACAGCCACCCACCGACACCTCTGTCTGCAATGGTGTTGTGCATGACAATCATGGACAGTTACCGACTGGCAGCATATTGTCTTCAGCGACGAATCCTGCTTTTGTTTGGGGGCTCACGATGGCCATGTGAGAGTATGGCAGCCCTCTGGTCAAGGCGTCAACCTGGCCTATACTATAGAGCAGCACACAGGCCCAACCCCCAGTGTTATGGTGTGGGGAGCCATAATATACAACAGTAGGACATCTCTAGTTGTCATGTGTACTACCCTCACAGCCCAACAATATGTGCAATACATCCTCTGGCCACATGTGTTGCCCCTCATGGCAGGGCTTCCGACAGGCATATTCCAGCAGGATAATGCCCAGCCACACACCACAGAGGTCTCCCAAGCTTGCCTATGTAACGTTGCCACACTTCCTTGGCCTGCATGGTCTCCAGATTTATCGTTAATCGAACATGTGTGGGACCACCTGGGTCGCCAGATGTGACAGCCACGGAATCTGATGCATCTTGAGTCCCAGTTGCATCATACATGGACAGATATGCCGCAGAACATTATTCACGACCTTTATGCCTCCATGCTGAGGCATATCACAGCTTGTATCTGCGCTAGAGTCGGCCCAACGGGATATTAGCACCTGCACTGTATTGCATATTACTGCACAATAAAGTATGTGTTTGCTTTATGGTTGCAATCATATACATGTCTAGCTATGATGATGTCACATACCAATTTTTATTCAAATCCAACAAGTCCTTCATGGTGCGTTATTTTTTTTTGTCGTTCAGTGTATTTGTTTAAAAAAATAAAAGAAAAACCTTAAATTTGAAGCAATATGATTTGTGTGTGTATTATTATTTTATATATATATGAATTCATCAGTATCCAATACTTTTTTTTTATCCTAAGATTAGTTAAAATTGAAATTAAAAAAATATATATAATTAAAAGTTCAATGTTAAATTATTCAAATTATATGTCAATTATTTCTTATGAGGACACAATCAATATGTATTGAAAGAACTAAAGACAATCTAAAAAATTTTTCAATAGAATGTTAATACAAAATTTAAAATAACTATTATGTATTGAGCCAATAATCCTCAAATATCCTGTAAAAATAATGTTATTAAGCAACATATATAATTGAAATCTGATGCAAATGCACATATAATACACATTTAACACACTCTCATTACTATAATAAAGGTTATACTACCTTATCTGAATCCATAATTTTAGTGAATTCTTTTTTCCAAAACAATAATGCATTTTCTAAACTCAAACCAATAGCTTTCAAAAAAAGTCCATATTGCATACGTCCACCATGACGCAAATGATGATTCTGACGCAGGTTCTTATGCAAGTTTTTCATGCATAATGGAAAGGATGTATCTGCAAGCTAATGAAAATGATTAAATTTGTTAATTATTTTTGAAATTAAAGTAATTTAATTTGCACAATAATAATTAAAAATGCAAAAATGAAAGATTTTGCGAAGATAATCATTAGGAATAAATAGATTGAATAATTAATCTGATAATGTTTAACTACATTCTAATTTATCAGAATAAATTTAAATACAGTATGTATTAATTTTGTAATACTTTATTATACATAAATTGTTAAAAACAACATATAATTATTATTTAGCATATTACAAGAGGATATAAAAAATACTCTCACATAATATAATGTCCAAATAACCAGATTATTTATGTTTGTTACAAACAAATTTTTAACATTAAAACTAAAATAATTAATATCAAAATTTGGTCTGTAAATAAGCACCTTGCATAACTGTTAATATTATAAATTAATATTAAAATTAGCCTTAATATAATCTGAAATAACCATGCAGTTTAGACTTATATTTAAAAGCTATTAAATATTCATAACTTATTCATATGATTATTATTCAATTCATAACTTTCAAAATCCAGTAGGGAAACTAAATTCAATTTTTGATGAAAATTATAGAAGTAAATAAAGTTGATAAAGTAGTGCCAATAAAAAGTTTTCTAATACATTTTTGTAATGTTAAGGATAGCTTCTATAATATAATCGAGATGGGTTGATAATAATAATAATGATAATGACAATAATAATAAGCACACAGCCCAAACGGTTAGGAGTTGAAAGTTGAAATTTGGTACACAGTTAGAGTACATCACGAAAACGCACACTAAGATGGGATTTTTCGAAATTTCCCCCGGGGGAGAGACAGGATTAAGGCTTCTATATACATTATGGATACGAGCCCAAACGGTTAGGAGTTGAAAGTTGAAATTTGGTACACAGTTAGGGTGCGTCACGAGAACGCACACTAAGAGGGGATTTTTCGAAATTCCCCCAAGGGGAGAGAGACAGGATTAAGGCTTAACACTTCCATCAACAATGGAAGTGTTACGTAACAATGGAATTGTTAAGAGAAAGCGACGTGCAAGATTTACAGGCGCAGATGCAGCTTTTTCGTTTTTGCGGGAAATCGAACATATTTTTAGAACCATCTAAAAATTCTCTAATTAGTCTGGAAACAAGGGGACCCAATTCTTGCATTCTGTGAAAACGGGTAAGGTTGACTGTAACGTAATAATCTTTATCTTAGTTATCATTACTTTTGCCTGAGCAATGCCGGGCCCACCTGCTAGTTTAAATATAAGCCTGAACTGCTTGGTTATTTCTAGGCTAATTTTAATAATAAAAATAATTTTTCATTAAGGCTAATTTTAACATTACTTTCTAATATTAATGGTTATTTCTTTTCAATACATGTGTTTAATTAAATAAATAAATTTTATTTATCATCATTTGAATACATGTATTGAAATGCAAACCTTAATATAAACACACAACTAATATGATGATGATGATGATGATACAACACAAAGGGAATAATTTATAAATGGGTAGGAAGAGGATCTTGGGTTTTAAGGGGTCTTAAGGGTCTTAAGGGGTTTAAGCTAGAGAGTAATTCTGTATTTATTTAAATATTTATTAACTGTTTATTTAATTTTTTAAGAATTTTTAACTTATAACAATCTTACAAAATCAATTATGTATATGTATTTTTGAATTAAAAAATTTAAAATAAAATAATTTTAAAAAATCATAAAAGCTCTAAATATGGTCTGAAAATTCATTTTTTAATAATTTATTTATCAAAATCATAGAGCAGACATGGGCAAATGTGTCTAAGAGTGCCGCATGTGGCTCTTTTTGAGTTACATGTAGCTCTNTATTAAAATATCTGAATAGAAGAAGCACATTTCTTACAAGAGAACATGATGATATATTTAAAAAAAATGCTGAGTACCATAAAAATCTGAATTCTCAAAAAAATTTAATGCTTACGTTGTGACAAACTTTGATCTTTGATGCTTCATAAATCCCAAGCGTACAGAACTGCAGCTCCCATGCATTTTGCAAAACCTACATTTCGGCTCCCACTAAACTCTTGTTTGCCCGCCCCTGTCATAGAGTAATTTTTTTTAAAATTTTCTTAAAAATAAAATAATATTTTTTATACTTGAATGCATACTTCTCTTGTTGACAAACAAAATAATTCATGAAAAAACAAATATTCAAATCTTTGACATTTCCATTATATTCAAAATTCTAATAATGAAATAATTAGCAGGTAGAATCCTTTACAATCTTTTCCTTTCCAGCACTAATTTAAAGATTTGACAAATGTTTTCAAGCTGCTTTACAGTTCTACTTCAGGTCTATCAGTCCATTAATTTGTTTTTGTTCTATTTTGGTAGCATTCAAATGTTAAAACTTTGTTTGTCAAATCTTTAAATTAGTGCTAGAAAGGAAAAGGTTGGTGTAGGATTCTGTTTGATTACTTATCAGTTGGATTTTCTTTTTCATAATTAGTAAGTAAAATAGTAGTACATAATAGTAGAGCATCGATTATCTGAATACTGATCAACCAAAACATCGGTTAACTGAAAGTGTTCCAGTTGGCAAATTCAATTTCCACTAGTGCTGTGGAGCTGCAGCACTCTCTTTTCACCTGCCAACCTAAACTGTAGGCCTACTTTAATGTACTACTTTATGTAAGGTATATATTTGTAAGATGTGTGATACAAAATATATACATCACACATATTTTTTCCCAGTTTTGTGTTTAATATATTTTTTTGTAAATGATCAGTTATCCAAACAACCCCAGTCCCGAATTGTTTCAGATAATCAATGCTTTACTGTATTCCCCTTAGGCGATAGACTAGTTTAATGACCATTGGCAAGAATAAAGGTGTGTCTATGACTGGTCAGCATAGTTTAATTTAATTAATTAATAATCTCTCTATCCCTAAGGTACATCAACCAGATGCTAGCTGACTCATGCTATACCTCATTCCTGCAAATAATTAGGAAAACAGTCCAGTGCCTAAGGGGAGTTGTTTTTCTAGGTTCAGACTGTACAAAGAAAATTGGCTCAGTATGGCAGAAACCTGCAACTCCCACATACTTAGATGATATACATCATAACTGTAGCCTTTGGAAGTTGCAAATTCAAATACAGCATAAACAAACAACTCGAAATCCAATATATTATAAATAAGTCAAACAACTCCTGGATTACATCAATAATCCAATGTAATATGGTAGTTATTTGGCTTATGTTCAAATACAGCTCTGAACAAATCTCTTTTCTACATGTTCCTAAATTACTTAATTTTTAAAGTTAAAATAAATAATATTCCGCATAATTCTAGTATCAAAGTTTCCTAATAGATGTTTAATCTATTAGGAAACTAATGTATTATTTACTAATGTATTTATTTATTTGTGTAAATTATATATTAATAATAGCTACTTACTTTATCAATCATATCAGGTGTTATTGAATCAGAATTCTGTGTTTTTGAAGTATTATAATCACTTTCTAAATACTGCTGTGCAAGATTTTTCAACATATTTAGTAATCGTCCATCCTCTTCTAATTCAGGTAAGGAACGTGCCATAGACTTTTAAAAAAGAAATTAAAAATGTTATACTTTAAAATGATCATAAATGATTCAGTATTTATAAATTGTAAGATAGATTTTTAAATATTGTATCTAAAGTCATATTAATTGAGATATTAAAAAAACTAATGCATTCTGAAAATAATACATTATGTTTGAAAAAAAGCAAAAATAAAATATTTCATGCAGGAAAATGTTTGTAGAATACTCTATGTACCCACTTCAGAGTGAACTCAACTCACATTAAAACAAATCACTAAGGAAAGTTAACTTGCTTTATTGAAAATTCATATTAATGATTTTTAGGGTCAAGATCAAGATTGTATAATTTAGAGAGTTAAGGCTAATAGAGCTAAATCTGACACAAAGTAGCCAAACCTGGCATCACTGTATGCTCTCCCTGATATTCAAAACTAGCACATTTGCATGGGACCACATCCATTTAAAGGGGTGGGCATCCTTAAATTTTAACACTTATTTTCTGATACAGTAAATGGTTAACTAAAACCAGAAGTTTGAATTGCTCTACAATTGGAGGTAGAACCTGTCTTTGCTTACCAAAAGAACATCTATTCTATTCAAAATGGAACATTTATTATTGTACCACTTTTTATGGTTCATATCAAAAAGTGTAAAAAGCAACCATTATTGGAAACTTATTTCTTGACTCCCAGACTTGACTCAGTGTTGTGAAGGTGATTTACATTTTGGTTTAACAAACTGTAATAAAATTTTTGTTTGCTTTATTGCCTAAAAAGTAATGTCATAAAATTCACTTTAACATGAGAATTTGCTTTATTGGTGTTTGTTTTAAGATAAATCAACTGTATAAACTCATAAACTAAAGAGTAAACCAAACTATCTATGATTTCTACAAACTTTGAAACTTTTATCTATATAATAAAGTCATATTGGTCTCACTCATGATCAATGTCATGTCACTTTCAATGTCAGTCAGTCTGACTGATATTAAAATATCTGAATAGAAGAAGCACATTTCTTACAAGAGAACATGATGATATATTTAAAAAAAATGCTGAGTACCATAAAAATCTGAATTCTCAAAAAAATTTAATGCTTACGTTGTGACAAACTTTGATCTTTGATGCTTCATAAATCCCAAGCCATCCAAAGCACTGATTACTTTAAATACCATTTCTCTATTTCTCCACATTATTTTAAATTACATTTTCTTTTGTAAATTTGCACAGATAATGGGAGTCAGAGAAAGCTGATATATCTACAGTCGACCCCCCTATAAGATCATAGATACGTTCCATTCTTTAGGAATCCGATTTCTTACGAGTCCTTCCAATCACAGCCTGACACGTGAGAAGTTTCCGGACTACGGCTGATTGAAAGGTTTTCTTCCATAAAATTAATCGATTCTAGACTAATCCGACTCAACATTTCCAAAATACGTATATTTTTTTTGGGAATAATCCGTATAAACTACGCTATAAACAAAAAATTGTAGGATTACTTACCGAGTGTGCACCATTCGACATTGCCATTGCTCAAGCTTGTTTTCGTCGCGGAACAGCTCAGCAAACCGCGGCCGACTTCTAATAACTTATTTTTCTGCGAAAACTTTGTTGAACTTTGGAGACATCATTAATATAAATAATTTTAATCGCCGTTGAATAAGAAATGTTTCTTTCACAAGAAATGTATAAAATTACAGTACTGTATTAGACTTACGGTACCTATTTACATACTGTACAGACGATAGTTAGCGTAAAATCTCCGTAGCGTGGCGCCACACGGCGGAAAAAATATATATAATTATAATAAAGTTACAATAAATTAAGTTAATATATAATTATGTATACAGTACCTAATTTATATATAATTAATATATAATTATATGTACAGTACCTAATTAATTTAAATTGAGACGAAACTAAACTCAATTTAGTTGCCTAAATGTCCGTAGCGTGGCGCTACGGACGGCGGGAAAGTAGTTTGGCTGCCCGATGACATTTTACGTAATTATAGGAGTTTTTTTTACCTTTTTTACGGATACTGTCGCAGTTTTTTCGCAATTTTATAGGAATCGTAATTATAGGGGGGTCGACTGTAGTATACTTTTAATTCTTTCGTCCCTGTACTCTTTCTACTAAGATCTACTTTCCTTCTCAAAGGTAAAGATCTCAACAGTCTAGTCACCCACTATATACATCATTAATTAAGAATGACAGATCCTTTTTCTAATGAACATAAATGAGATATGAAAGATTCCAGTCAAAAATGGTGGGATCAACAACATGTTCTGCTAACTAGGAAGCATTTGTGACATCCTAGAAACTAGACTGAAAGATTTGAGGATGGGTGTCAATGGCCCTAGCCAGAGCTTTTAACCAACTGATAAGGAGGAAGCCAAGATGTTTTATCAAATACAATATTTTATCCGTAAGAACAACTGAAGAATTTGCTATAGCAATGTACAACCCTCCTCTGAAGAATAAATGAAGAAAAAGCAGTAAATTGGATGTGTGGACATGGTTACTTTCATCAACTAACCTCCTAATTCAAACATTTATTATCATACTACTAATTCTAGTAGTAAGAACAATCACACCCAAAAGAGTGACAATTCTCTCCTTTCACCCAGTCTCATATGTAACTATTTCTCTATAATGATCTTAGCTCACTACCTGACCTTCAGAGATCTTAATTTTTATCACTCCTGTCAAAACTTTGAATTTAAGAAAATCAAGAAAATTAGAATTTAAGAAAATCAATGAGGATATTGTACAACAGTATTAATGTATTTTATTTGAATTATTTTATTGTATTTTATACTTAGTTTATTTTGTACTTACTATTATTTTGTTTTTATATATTTTCTTTTATTACTGTGATCACTGTGTTAATTTAGTTTACAATGTTAATGTTTACATGTTACTAACCACTAACTTTACACATAGCTAGCTGTTTTAATTTAAAAAATTCTGTTCTATTTATTTTTAAAAACTGTTCACATCTTTCAACTTCCTAAAAAATACTAATGGAAAATTCTAGAGGTTTTCATTCAAATTTCTGATTTTCTAATATTTGGGCCTGATGGAGAATTCCTAAAGTTTTATTCAATAAAGAAGCTTTATGTCTTGAAATTTGTAGCATTTGTATTTTATTCTAAAGTCATATGGAGTCGTACTTGAAAACTAGTTCTCTGAGTAAGTAAGTTTAATAATGCATTGTTAAAAATTTGATAAATTCTAAACTCATTTTGTAAAAATTACTTTTGAAAAACTGAAGTTTGAAACAATTTTACAGGAAATTCAAAAATGTATTCTTTTTTTCTGACAGGTAGCATAATCAAATTATGTCATCTATAGAATTTAATTTGACTTTCTTGATTTCAAATTTTTTTCTTTTAAATTTCTTCGTTGCTATTTTTCTTTAATTTGTTTTCTTTTGTTTTAATTTTAAATTTCTGTTAAAGATTTAAATAGCTTTTAAACACTGTTTTAATGTTATGATTCAATTCCAAAGTTTAAGATCTGAAAATGAACAACAGAGTCCTGAAAAATATTTTATCCTAAAATAAAAATTTTAACTCCATAAATTCTTTTAGCATATGTGGACTTTATTTTATATTTTTTCATTATGTTTGATGTACCTGAAGAAACCTATCTATCTTAGTAAAAGTATTGTTTTTATTAAATTTATGCTGTCTAATTTTGCAATTTGGTTATTAATTTAATTATTATATTGAAATGCAGCATGCAAACTATTCCCACACACATTTTGTAAACTGACTTATTAATAGTGAAGATAATATTGACATTTTAGACATCTTTCTTACCCCAGTAATTGAAAATCAGTTTGATAAGCAGATTAGTATTCAGGACACCAGTGCATCATCTCACATATCTCGACTGGTAAAAATCATTTATGCAAGAAACTTAAATCAGAGCTATTAGTTGGCAATTCTTAAATTTTAAATCCTAATAAATATTCATGATGGAAAAATAAAAAGTACCAAATAAAAATTGAATAAATTTACAATGAAGATTGCCTTGTGTTGTGTGTATGAACTATATAGTATATAAAACCACAAAAAAATAAAAAGTACTAATCAAAAAATACACTGAATAAAAGTAAGAAACTATCTTAAATGTTTGGCTTCATTACATGCACAACAGATTGCATAAAGTAATACTGAGAGTCTTGCATAATACTTGCATAAAATAATACTGAGAGTCCAAAATTTGATTAAAGAATGAAGAAATTAAAAACTAACTTTTGTCTAAATTTCTCTTTCTTCAAATGTTTGCAAATAATGTAATATAAATTGATTTATTTTGTTGCCTGAATTATGCTGCAACATGATACTATTTCTATTCAATGAAAATATTAAATGCAAATCAACTTCTGTTCACATTTTTTAGTTATACTTAAAATTTCACATTCTAAACAGCTGTGATGTTTTCAAAGATTACAGTAGAGCGTCGATTTTCCGAATCAATTGGGGACTGGGGTTGTCCAGATAACTGATATTTCGAATAACTGATTTACGTACGAAAAAATAGTTTAACATATCGGATGTCGAAATTTTTTTCCGTTGCGTGTCGCTTCGCATTGAATTTTCTTCGATGTTAAGCCTAACAAAGACTATTACATCGTTAAAAATTATTTTTTTATTTTGTACAAACAAAATAAATATATTGAAAAATATAAAAATAATAAAAAATTATACTTCAGAAGTTAATTTAGTATCAAAAACGTAAAATATTTGATTAGCCCAAGACATAGCCAAAGATTGAAGCCCCACAGCACTGGTGAAAATTTAAATTTGCCGACTGGAATTCTTTCAGATGATTGACGTTTCGGATGATTGACTTTCGGAAAATCGACGCTCTACTGTATTTACTTTAGTCAAACACAATAATATATTAAATTGTTATATTATGTAATAAAGTCACCAAAATTTAATTTTAAAATTAAGATTTCTTTACTTACAGCTAATGCTTGAGACAACTTCATTCTAAATATATTTACAATGATAGTAGTTAAATCAATTGATGGTATATAGGCATATCCTTTTCTCAAATATGTCTTCCTGCATTGAACCAAATCAAGAACTTCAGTGAAGTGAACCTAAAATAATTTATTAAATTAAAATTGCTGAAAATTCATTTTTTTAATGTGAATATAATTTTATTAATTCTTATTTTGTATTTAAAATAAACAATTCTTAAAAATTAAACAACTATTTTCCTGATTATGATTATTCTTGATACAATTTCTTAAACATTTTTTGAGTCTATATCCCATCATGATATAAAATCCCATATGTTTTTTAAAACATAACAACATTTTAAAATATATAAAACAGAATTACTTTAATGACCACACAATAAGGTCTAATTAACTATCGACTAGAAATTAGCTAATTAATTTCATAGATATTGTATAATTTGAGATAGTTAAGCTGCCATCTTGTGTTAAATTTAATAATTCTATTAATTTTGAATTAAATAAAATAATTTAAACTTTAGACTTAATGTAGCCTCATTGTTTGTTCATTAGAATATTGCAGGCTTGGTTGTTAATATAAAATTATTTTATTTTTAAAACTGAACAATTCTGAATTAGTTCTCCATTCTAAAAACCTTAATATATTATTTAAAAATTTTGATTACTTTATTATTAGAAAATAATCTAATGGAATTTTTAGACATCTGTGACAACCATTTATATTCTGATGGATTAGTTTAAAGACATAAGTATCCAAGAGGTGGGCTTCTAACTCAAAGTCTAGATCCTATTAAGATTTCATAATACTGTGCTTTATCAAGTATTTGTGGTTTTTCAAAAATTACCGAGTATATAAATTTTTTAGTTTTTTAGTATATTGTGATGAATTAACTATATCATGTAAACTGCACTGTATATATCAGAAAAAAATCTTTTGTCTTGGTTTACTATTTGTGTTATGATTGTATTAATGTATGCTGGTGTTGTACTGTATGAATGTAAGCTGATGAGGTGTCTTTGTACACAAAATGCATTATTACGAAAATTTGATTGGGGTTATTAGACAATTTTTTGTAAAATCTAGTCTATTTATTCCAGCCAGCACTGATGTGATAAGCCCTCCAATTTATTACAACCCTATTTATTAGGATAACTAATTCAATCTAAATCAAAGTCTTGGACTAGAGGCATTATTTATTATTAACATTTCTTATGATTAAAAAAAAATTCTGAATTTATTTAATACATTAGCAAAATAATAAAAATAATTTTTCATTAAGGCTAATTTTAACATTACTTTCTAATATTAATGGTTATTTCTTTTCAATACATGTGTTTAATTAAATAAATAAATTTTATTTATCATCATTTGAATACATGTATTGAAATGCAAACCTTAATATAAACACACAACTAATATGATGATGATGATGATGATACAACACAAAGGGAATAATTTATAAATGGGTAGGAAGAGGATCTTGGGTTTTAAGGGGTCTTAAGGGTCTTAAGGGGTTTAAGCTAGAGAGTAATTCTGTATTTATTTAAANATTTAGTTACAAAATAATTACTTCTATTGTACATCTACAAAATAAAAACTGTCATCAAATGTAGTCCTTAAATTAAAATTTTGCTATGATTTAAATTAATGAAATGTTCTACAACATACTCTTGATTAATGTACATAAAATGTGGTTTTTCATTTAGAGTATGTTATGGAATATATCATTGACTAATAAACAGTAATTACAGACAAATGAAACTAAATCTATCTACATTTAATAAAGTATTAATTATAGATAAATGTATAAACAAATTAATTAAATATTAAAAAATTATTATTATATTACATTACTGAAATCAGCAAGATAAAAAAAAATATTGATAATTCTATTGCATATATTTCTCTGAATCTATGTTATAATTTTAAAAATATGACAAAAATTAAGCATTCAAAGAATCATATCATATTTTAAAATTTACATGAAGATATCATATTTTCTTGATTCTAATGCACCATCAAATCTAATGCAAAGTCTATTTTTGAGAAATCAAAACCCCAATAAATTAGCTTGTGAATATAATGCATGCCCTAAATCACTGAACATGCTATTTAAACAGTAATAAACACATTTCTTGAAGATTTTTATTTTCAGGTTTATAGTGCTTCACAATGTCCACATTTTCAAATGTATTCATTTATGAGTCTATTATTAGGTACATAGGATTTGCAGAGCAATATAAAATTACAATAAAACTTTGTATATATGTTCTTCAACATAGTGGCTAATTCTCTGTTTAATAAAAATTTATAGATTTGTCTACTGGACTTTGTTTATTCAGCTTACTGTAGCTCATAACCACCAAGCCATTCCAAAATCAAAATTAAAACTGAAAATGTAAGAGGGACAAGCAAATATCCAGAGTAAAAAGCACAAATGAATCTACATTAAGTCAATTTTGTGCCCTGATTCTAATGTGAATCCCAATTTTTGACACCAGAATAAGTAAAAAAAATATGCACACTAGAATCAAGAAAACACAGTAATTAAATAAGTAATTACCAACAAACTAAGCAATCAGTATTACGTCAAGACTGATTGATTGCTTCATGGAAACTTATGAGATTTCAAATGACAAACTAAAATAACTCCCAAGTCTTAAGTCTTGCTTTTTTTTTTTTCTTTAAATATTTTTAAATTTTGATATGGACTCTCAATAAATCAAACTGTATTAGGTTAAGTCTCTCACTGAATAAAATTTTATTTTGTTTTAATATGATTCCATGAACTCAATGCATTTTGTGTCTAAGTTCAAACAATTTTGAGGCAATGTTTTAATCATTGCTGTGAATTTTTTCAGCTCTAAATCTGTATACTTTCTGTTGTTTCAAATTAATTAATCACATTAATATGAAATGATCAATTAATCTTGAAGAAAAACTCTCAAATACATCGTAAAGTAGGAATAAATAGGTCATAAACATCAAACTTAATAGATTTCTTTCACAAATAAATATTTTATTTTGCACATGTAAATATTAATAAAAATATAATGTATTTAGGTCTAACTGTATTATTCGTATCACGTCATTTACAATATCACTAACATAACAGTAAATTCCATAACTCATTAATTCAAATATTATTTTCTACTCTTCCACTTCTAGTTATTGAGTGTCAACTATATTGTCTCCACAAGACAAGGCAAATTAATAGAAACAACAGAAAATTAAATGTGTAATATCCTCTATAAGCCAAATTCAATGTGCTTGTGAGGTTTCGCCAGTTATTCAAAAAATCCAGTTACAACTGATCAAATATCTTTATTTTTATTTTTTCAGAAAAAAAATAATATGACATATGCAAAGTTTAAAATTCTTTTTCTGAAAAGAAAAAATAAAGATATTTGATCAGTTGTAACTGGATTTTTGAATAACTGGAGAAACCTCACAAGCATGTCGAATTCAGCTTATAGAGGACATTACATATTAATATATCAGTTCCCCATAGAGAAGTTTAGAAAATTAAATATTCTAAAGTTCTTTTATAAATATTCTTTAAAAGCAATTCATAAATGTTGATTGATTTTTATAATCTTTTCACATACGTTTTAATATGTTAAAATTAAATTTGTGTTGAAATTTTTAATTTATCATTTTAAGAATATTGTAATAATAAATTTTCAATAAAAAATATAGTAATAAAAATAATATATTTTCAATAGTTATCATGTATCGTCAAAGTTCGTCATATCAATTATTGTACGTACTAATAGCTAGGGATTGATACATCTAAAAAATACATTAAATAGATATATTAATCTTAAATAAACTGTAATCAATTAGAAAAAAACTTGAACATCTATGAAAGATATTGAAATAAATATTTTCAATTAAAAAGTTAATCTGTTGAAGCTAAGAGAATATAAAAATTTATGAAAAAGAAAAACTTTCCCAACAGTGGACAATGCTGAGGATGAATCACTCAAACTAAATAAATTAAATTTAATAAATTCCAATTACAGTTTAATTGAAATATCTGAAATTATACTTTCATGAAGAATAAAAACCAATGTTATTAACTACCTGCATCATATTCTCATTATAAAACTAACATTTTATTATTAAATATTTTTAACTTATTAAATTATTTTTTGTCTCTCTCTATACACTTATATTCATATCTAATTCATAAAAAGTGATTGATGAAATGTTAAGCTTCTAAACATAAACCTCTCATAAGTGATCTAAAAAAATATTTGATAAGATTTAAATTCAAAGAAATGTAGTGTTAATAATGAAGCAAACATTTTTCTTCAGGTATCATAACATCAAACATTGTATCATTATATCAAAATAATCTAATATCTTGATAAAAATATCAAATTAAAATTATTTTATCTATCTAATTATCAACATAGAGCCAGTTTGTTAATTTAGATCAGTGTTCCGCAACCGGTGTGCTGCGGAACACTGGTGTGCCGTCACAAGGTGTAAGGTGTGATGTGAACTTTTACATATTCTATTAATTTCAAGCTTTATTTATATATTTTTATCACAGTTGTTGTGCTTCTTATGCTTGTATTTCAAGTGTTATCTCATAAGTGCCGCAGCACTTATGAAATAAGATGATGTTCGTTTATTCTTTATTACAAGCCATGCATTTTTATGTATTTTAGGAAATTAAATGTAAAATAAATTTGCTCACAGGTGTTGATGTCTGTTTAATAATAATAATAATATAGGTTAGTGGCATTACATAATTCTATTAATAGTATCATATCATACGCTTTTGAGGGGAATAACATTTTGGTGTGCTGTGTTGAGACATGTCAAGTCATGGGTGTGCCGCGAATAGAAAAAGCTTGTGGAACACTGATTTAGATAACACCAATAACCATATGTTTAAAAACTACAGCATGAATGTCATAGCTCATATGCATATCTTTTCAAAATATATGTTTTATTCAATAAAAATTTCAGTCATGTTAATAACCAATAAATAAAACTTATCCACTATAATGTTAATTAAACTTATGAATGGAAATAGTTTGAAAATACTGAAATAAAATACAATTAGTGCAATGAATTTAACAGCATTTGATTATTATTTAGTTTAAATAATAAAATATTTTAAAACATATTGTAACTGAATACATTCTTCTCATAAAAGTATTTAAAATAATAGACAAGAATACAGCCACTTCTCACTGAATGACCTAACTGTTTTATGACCTACAACCATCTCTCCAGGGTGAGAATCCCCTTTCTTAGTCTCAGGCTCATTCCTGCAATCAGTATTTTCTACACAAAGCATTTGTAATCTCCAAGACTACATATTTTGTTTAGAAATTTGTAATTTATTGTACACCTCATTTGATAAATTAGATGATTAAAATACTAATCTGAACACTTTTTTTATGAATAAACTTTCATTTTTTTTATACATCATTTTTATAATTTTTGCTGATTGTATTTTTATGTTATGTAATATGTAAGATATGCAAGATGGAATTTTCTTTGGACCTTTTCTTTATACAGAATAATAGCAAGCAATTATTTATTGTGACATCATCACAATGTTGGGCTGTCATTTTTAATCATATTTTAAATTTATTTCATTAAAAATATATGCTCTCCACCTCAAATTAGTAGTGGCTTGTCCCTGTACATCATACTTTTCCTTTAATAATAGTTGTACTGGTCATCTATTAACTGTTTTCTGAGGAAATATTTTGAATTGAAATAACATGACTTCCAGTTTGCATCAGAAGTTTGTATATAGTTAATCTGGGTTTCCTACCCTTAATACCCCATTTGCATCGAGCATTTCTATCTAGATTGTGACCCAAGTCAGCGACTATGCCATAGTGCAACCTCTCTCAACTGAAACGAGGTTCAATTGTGATCAACTCAAGAGAGTTCTTGAAACTAGATCCAGTCATAAGAGAGATTCCACAATTCCACACGCACGAGAAAATACAAGATGGCTGTGGAACATGTGTTGGGCTATCAACAGAGAAATAAAAAAGACATCTGGAGAAACGATGACATCTGTCTATTATTAGATATATGGCAAGAAAAAGTATTTATTTCTAATCAAAACTTCCATTTGTTTGTTGGTGTTCATGACTAACTGCGTAGTTATGTCAGTTTTATCATTGCGTGTAATAGCCAGGTTCTTCTCAAGTGGACTGCCTGTGCAAATAGCTTGACGTTCGTCTGGCAACAGTTACAATTCAGATTGTAGGTAAATCAAGATCAAAGTGAGTAGTGGATTCTGTGTAAAAGTAATATAAGGTTTCCATATCTGGTCTCATCTTTCATCTAGTTAACTCCATTCTCAAGATTAAGGAAAGACGGACGGTTGGACATATAACAGTAGGAATTTATAGGTCCATCATTTTTTCAAATTGCAGCCCAATTAAGCTCCTTGTTTATTGTTTTTATTCTGTATAAAGAAAATCAATTTACTTAACAACCTAGCCATAGGAATGGAACTGTTGTTAAATGAGGAGTGGCTGTATTACAGTTTTTAGTACTAAAATATAATTATATTTTGTATTGGTATAGCATAGTTTTACAAAAATAGTAAATCTATAATAAATAAATATATATTGATATATTAATACATTACTGGCTGATAATCCAAATTGTTTAATTTTAAGAAATTTTTGAAGCTGTCAGTAGTTTCATTATTTAAACGAAATTTAAACAGATCCACTTCTTGATTGATAAACCATCGCCGCTGCTGTTCTCTGTAATAAATGTGTAATGAAATAATTATATTCTAAATAAAAATAATTTAAATATATAATTAAATACAGGATCATTCATGAAATATGGGCAGTCTAGTTTCTCCTTTNGAAATTATTTATCGACAGTTAATCACAGAAACATGACACAATCCTATAGATTCTATAGGATAGAATATTTTTTATTTATATAAAATTACAGAATGCGATGCTAATAGATTTTGAAGCATTTCAAGTTAAAGATCGTGAAATTATTTATCGACAGTTGGCCATAGAAACATGACACAATCCTACAGAAGCTGTAATAGACATTTATATAGATTCTGTTACAAAGTATCAATTATCAGTGAAAGATCAATGGAAAATTTATTTTACTACCAAAAACATTCATGGATTAAATTTTATAGACGAAAAACCATTGGATGTAACTGGCTGGATCGAACATAGTAGTTTACAAAACTTATTAAATTATTTCACAACGTATAACAAATTATTTTTATTTAAAGGTGGACAGATAGAAAAAATCTTTTTGAAAACTGGAACCACAATTATTTAGACATCGAACTTCTTGGGTGTCCAAGATCAGATATTAAAAAGAATTGTTATTACCATAAATATTTTAAAAAGCATTGTTCTCTTTGCGATATTCTATCTTACGAACAATACTTAATTGAACCAAAAATAGATATTTTCAAAATCAATACATTGTATAGGTATTTAATAAATAAGTAACAAATATAAATTAAATAATTATTATATTGAACTATTTCCCAACTTTACTTTGTCTTATCGTTAAAATATTATTTCAAATTGTTGTGTTTTAATTTACTCAAATAGTAGAACAAATTGTAAAAATTATTATTTCAAATTACTTTTATAATAATAAATTTGATAATTAGAAAGAATATATTAAAGTTTGTCTTATTGTTACAATATTATTTCAAATTGTCATGTTTTAATATATTCGGATATTAGAACAAAAAAAAAATTAGGAAATATTTATTAATAATTCTTAACTACATTTTTTTGATATCTTTAAATTTAAGTATAAATAAGGAGTAATTTTAAATCTGAGTCAAGAAGTTTCAACAATCAGCAAATCTCAACATTCAATGAGATGAACTGTAAGTATATTTTTCATGTACATCTATAAAAATTAAAGATTTGTGATCAGTATGTGTCAAACCACTACTACTTCTGAGTGTTTGTTGTGAAGAAGCAAAATGTGAAAGTATTAGGGTCGAGTTATAAACTCCGTAACGTAACCATATCCGTAACTGTACGCGTATCCATATAGTGTGGTTATAAACTCCATATTGTATCTGTATGGCCGTACCGTATTCCATAAGAAAAGTTTGGATCGATCAAACTTTTACGATAGGGATACGGAGAATTGACCAACTGCACATGCGCTAAGTTACCATCAGTTGATGTACAATCGGAAATTGTGCCGGAAGCAACCGACGAAACTTTGACAAATTGATGGAAACGTAACTTTTGACCGACAATGCTGCTTCTGAATAATATAAAATTTTAAGATAAGAATTACTTTGGTCATAAAAATAGAAAAATAATAAAATGAATAAATAATTATAGTGTTAGATCCAGCAATAACTACCGATGATTTTGCGCATGCTCACCATGGACTGCTTCGTAAACCGTAAAATAGTTTGTTATGGAAAAGGCCTTATGGTAGTTTATAACTGTTGCTATAGATATCTAGTGTAGCAAACATTTACAAATATGGATACGGTTACATTACAGAGTTTATAACTCGATTCTTACTATTAAAGTAAATTATGCATGGCAGGCAAATAGTATAATCAAAAGAAAATAATTGAAAGTGTATAAATTTTTACAGGAACAATCGAGTGTTTCAATTTTTCTCTCTTTTGTGAATACCTTAATTAAATGGAATATGAGATGATACTAGAAATACTGTTAATAATTCTTTTTAAATAGTGAGAAGTGTCTTTGTCACTAACTTCTAGAATATGTAAAAATGACAGTATATTAATGTAAGAATGTGTGAGTTTATGTTTTTTCTCTAGTGAGAATAATCATTATCATCAGGCCATAACAAGTTTCCACAATGATTAAAACCAAGTAAGGACTAAAGTAAGGAAATCATGCAACAATTGTTGAAAGGTTTCCTTACTTGGTTTTAGTCATTATGGTTTGTAAATTCAGATAGACTGATAGTTTGGGCTGGTGATAATATGGGCAAAGAAAAAAAAATATTTGTCTTGACCAGTGATTTTGTTAATCATTGTACACTAATAAAACAAACAGCATCAGGATATTTCCAGTCATCAGTTCATAGAATTCTGAAAACAAGTTGATCTTTCCTTGAGTGTCTAAAAATAAATAGTTTTTATATGGAAATGACTTCAAAAATTGAGATTATCATGTAGCACATTTATGTACCTTCAGTTCCAAATTTCTGATTTAACATTGTCTAATAACCATTTATGAGGCTATTTTCCACCTTTCTAGAAATCCCATTATGGTGTAAGTAACTTTAATAATTCTGCATATTATTTGATATTAATATGCAGAATTTTTTCATCTGAAAACTTTTTTGTAAGTTTTTTTAATTTTCAATTAAAATATTTATTAGTAATAGAATTAAAAATGAATATTTTTATTCTATCAATTAAACTTCGATAGATAAAATTTGAATAAAGTATAGTATATAGCTTACGTTCGGCAATAAGCTAGACGTAAAATAAAATGTGAAATGTGATCTTTTTGACGTTCATCATATAAAGTATTTGTCATGTCTTCAATCTCTACATTCTGTAATAAATATTTAAAAAATAGAAAATAAAATAAAGTATTTTAATATAAACTATTTAATTTTTAACTTTAGAATCAAATCTTGTTTAAATGTATGCTTATTTTTGTTACTTAAAATAATTGACTAATTAACTGTATCGATTTTTATTACAAAATACATTGCAATATTTTATTATCTGTAAACAATAACAGAACAAAACCATGAATAAATTTTTAAAAATTATATTATTACTTACCCTTTTAATATTTTTATCGAGTTTCTTTTTTTTCAACTCATTTATTAATGCTACTCTATAATCTTCTGAGGATTTCATGTGTTTTAAACCAACTCTTTCAATGACGCACAATACTAAAAAAATGAAATAATTTGCTTAAACAAATAATTAAAACAGACAATTATAATAATTAATGAAAAACTGCAAACTTTGTAAATGTATTATGTTTTATATAAAACTTATTAATAAGATTTATAATATATTATAAAATTTATATTTAATACAAAATTACTACTGTAATATCAATTAATAAATATGAAATATAAACAAACAAATCTGTATTAATTTTATTTAAGTAAATTATATAACAGGGGTGGACAAGCTTCTTGATAGTCCGAGCCATTTTTCAAAATTTGAAATTTTTCGCGGGCCACAATTAAATACGTATTAAAAAGGTATGCAAAAAATTCCAGAATTATATCCGTAGCAACAGTGATACAAATTGTTTCTTCCAGAGCACAATGTCAGCTGTCCATTGCAATGGCAGTTTACAAATTCAAAATCGGTCTGGAGTCGGTCGATAATGGACGATTATGCCACTGTTTATGTTCGTTCGCGCAGTTTTCCATGAGTCATATCATTCTTAACTTGGACAGAAATGAAATTTGTTACAACGTTGCACTTAATCTTTCATATTTGTTGTTAGTAATTTAAAAGACATTTTGAAACACATATGGAACAATAATAATTTTTTAAAATATAATAACACAAAAATGAAAAGGGAACTCGGGTACATTTATCGAGAGCCACAAATAATCATTCAAAGAGCCGCAGGTTGGCCACCCCTGTTATATAATAAGTACTTTTTAAAGTAAAATAAATAAAAAACTTAAAAGATTAGTATGTAAAAGATTTATCACAGCTTAATTATATCAATAACATACATTGCACTATGTGGCCAAAAGTGTTGGATTAACCATTTGTTTACTTAAAATCTAAAGCATAATCATACTCAAAGCTCAATGGTTCCCAATTAGTGGTACGTGTACCCCTGGGGGTACGTGAAATTGCATGAAGGAGTACATGTGGCAATCTAAAATCGGTCAATTTAAAATTTAAATACATGAGATGAAGCAATCAAAAAATAATGGGTGGACCATCAAAAATTTGGCAATTTACAACATGATGTGGAATGCACAAATTCATTTATTTATAACTAAAAATATTCTCAAAATTTTATCAAAAAAAAAACACTACAAATAGTTCTGTATTTCAATATGACAATATTTTTACCCATAAAACAATGGTTGTAAATGATTGATTAAATGTGTAGGAATTCAGCCTTCACAGAATCCTGATCTGAATCCTACTGAACATCTTTAGATGAAGTGGAATACTGACTGAAAGACCAACTAAATCCTATGATCTAACTCCTTCTGAGTTCTTCTTCAGATGCAACAGAATGTCCAAAAGACTTTCCATCAGGTAACTGTTCTGTTACACCTGAAGAAGAACTCAGGAGTTAGAAAATGTTTGTGCAGAGATCGTTTTTTGTTTGTTTCTGTGTTTGTTATTAATATTTGTATTTTATTCTGTCAGTTAATAACCTTAACTATTAAATAATTTACATTAAGAATAATAATTCTTACATTGTAGTCTTTGAATAGCAAAATCTTCAAATTCCTTCAAAGAAATATTTCCAATTGGTGGAATTGTATAAAACTGCAAAACATGTTGATATAATTGTTCATTTCTATCACCAGTGAGACGTAATGGTCGACGTCTTCTTCCAATAAACTGCATTTTGACTGTTGATCTTCTGAAAAAGTAAATTAATGTATTAAATATATTGATATGAAATATCTAATTTACAATGGCAATGTTAATAATAGTTTATTTATAGTTTATATGTTTTAATTAGAAAGTATTATATTTCTTTGGTTCTGGGATACCATTCATTATAAAACAAGTTTGAAATCAAAATTTAAAAAATTTTTATGGATGGAAAAATTTGACAGTAATGAATTTTATTAAGTTTTGTTAAATAACAGAAATTACAAAAGTACAAATGCCATGAAATAAGTAGTATTTATAAGCTCTATTTCTATACCATTTACATAAACAAGAACTTTTCATGATGCATCATTATGTTCTCAAAAGCATTTTAAACACTTTATTGTTTAATTAAATTCGTTAACTGCGTGTCTGTTTTAAGTAATTCATTATACAGAAATTTAACTGTATATTCAATCCTTGATATTACTATAATTTTTTTTATATGTGCAGATACATAAAAATGAACAGAAACTTTTAATGTTCAGCAGTAACTAAACAAAAAAATAAGCATTTTCAACTTTATGAGAGTTTAATAATGCAGCATTGAATGTTTTATTTATATCTGGTGATGATCCAAGTAATTAAAATATTTCTGTTCAACTATTTATGCAGTTTTATTTTTCTGACATTTATTCCTGGATAATAAAAAAATTTATTTTTTTTTTCTTTGGTTGCAGCTTCAAAGCTTTTTGAATTGCACACGTTGATATAGCATAGGAAACTCCCACAAATACATTCAAAACACACAATAAAATAAAAATTTCTGTCATTGCTGAATAATAATAAATAAAATTTTCAGATTTAAATTTAAAATAAATATGAAATTTTAATATCCACGACCATACTAACGAACATACAAATGATATTTAATTTATAATATTGCATTGTTTCATATTCCGTAAATCATGAATTCTGACTGACAAATAAATAAATATAACGGTAGAAGTGCACGTGGATACTTCTATTCGGTTCATACATATCTTTATGGATAAAATTTATGCATATATTTCACTACAATTACAAACAATTTAATTACCTTTTAATACAACGTTTGAAAACAGGCAACGAATATTAAAAACTTCCTAAACTCAATTCTCCAACATTAAAGACACGTTAAAAATCTCCCGCCAGTTCTACTGCACTGCCCCCTCACCAACTTTAAATAATTTCGAATTATGAGTTAAACACTATCTTAAGTAATAACTTTTTAAAAATATTTTTGTTAATTTATTTCAATCTTTTATACGAATTTTATTAATAATATAAAATAAAACTGTATATAAGTGATACCAAGCTTAGATCGACAGCTGAGTGGCCGAGCGGTTAAACTTCTCTGTTATTGTTAGAATTAAGCTTATGGTACCAAGAAACCATAAACTTTTCCCGAGTTATTCATTCATTTAACAAGAACTGTAGTAGATTTGTAACGGAAAAAAATATATAAAACGGTTACGGTTTAGTTTTTCTTTTTGGTTACTTTCAGCCACGTCCTTNATTCTACTTGTAATTTTCTGTATGTTCAAATTTCTTGGGCTCACCAGTGACCGCTTGGCCACTGGTGGGCCCAAGAACACTGGGAGTTCTACCCTGAACACTGGGAGTTCGGTAGTGGGTACGCGCCTCGCTCGGATGGGCTGGCCACGTAAAGTTTCCCGGTTTTTTTTCACGCCTGTAACGCCTAAATAAGGCCAGTTGCCACTTAAAAGAATACAGTAGAACCTCGATTATCCGGACTAATTGGGGATGAAGGTAGTCCGGATAAGGAAAAATCCGGATAATCGAAACAAATACTTTGATTTGTCTTTTAATGACAATACAACACGTTTTCTTTTCGATGACATATCGGTAATATTAAAAGTAAATACTGTATTTAAATCGTGATCAAATTTTCAAGAAACAAAC